CTCGGGGACCAGATGACTGATGTCACTGCTGTGGCAACCACCCTGACTACCACGGATGGGCTGGGAGCAGCTTGTTTGTGAAGAAGGGAGCACTGAAACCGGGCAGTAAGGCGGGGGGAGCAGGTGCTCACTGGAGGCATGCAAGACAAGCATGGAGACCCCCGGCAGGAGGGTGGGGGCAACAGGACCAGAGGACCAGAGGGCCTGCTGATTTGAGATCTGAAGTCACCCAAGCCAAACCTAGGAGCCATCCTGGACTCACCCTCCACACCCAATCACCAAGGCCTCTCCATTCTGCATCCCAGATGGCCCGAGAGCCCTCCCCCACCATACCCTCTGCCAGGGCCCCGGCCCAGCCACCGTCTCTCACCGAGACCTGTGCCCTCAGACTTTACTGAGCATCAGGACCACTGTAGGACGTGAGACCGAATTTCTGATTGAACAGATTTCTGCTGGGGCCTGGGCATTGGCACGTCTCCCGGCTGCTGCCTCTGGTTGGGGCCTGTGCTCGGAGAGCCACTGACCTAGACGATTCCTGTGCTCGGGCCCTGCCTCAGCCCTGCACCACCTGGCAGGCACATGCCCAGGTTTCCCTCCGACTAGAATCTCACTTCTTGTTCCACCTGTATCGATCCTCCGTTTCCCCAGGAAGCCTGAGGCAGCGGAAGAATCTGACCAACATCCATACCCCCTGCACCTGAGGTGGAGCCAGGGCCTTGGCCACGACATGTGGGCAAACGGAAGAACTGGAGTATGTGCGAGTAGCTGGGGGTGGGGCGAGGCGAGCTGCTGCCATGACATGCCACACAGAAGACAGGACAGAGGCCCGGGCCCAGGTGGCACACTTGGAGACAATCCGAAGGGTCTAGCAGTGGTCGGCAAACTGCGGCTCGGCAAACCACGGCTCGCGAGCCACATGCGGAGTGTGGCTCTTCCACAAAATACCGGCTCTTTCACAAAATACCGACTTCTGCGCATGGGCCACGAAGTTTCAATCGCACTATACATGCACGCCCGCACGTGGTATTTTGTGGAAGAGCCACACTCAAGGGGCCAAAGAGCCGCATGTGGCTCGCGAGCCGCGGTTTGCCGACTACGGGTCTAGGGGACCACAAGCACAGTCCCTTGCTAGACGGAGGCCAAGTCAGTCCGTGGGATCGCGGGCCACCTGAACAGCAGAGGACAGAGCACCTGGTCCTGTCAGCCCTGGGGTCTGTTCTGGGAGTTGCTGGCAGCAATTCCCCAAGAGTATCTGAGAGAACCACTGAAGGGAGACGCGAGTCAGCCCGACCCTCACAGCACCTCCTACTTTGCAGCTGGAGGAGTAGAGAAGGAACATGGCTGAGGAGTTACTATGGGGGAGGGGCTTCTCTTTCCTCCGTTTCTCTCCTTCCCAGCACTACACTTGGCTTTTTAGTTGGACATTTGCTTAGTTTTTGTCTCTCTCTCCACTAGACCATAAGCCCCGAGGGGGCAGGGGACATGTCTGTCTTGTCCATCACTCTAGGCCAGCACCCAGACCAGGGCCCTCAGAAAGTGCTGGTTGAATGAATGGACGAATGGATGGATCGATGGATGGATGGATGGTGAGGGAACAGTTGATGTGATGGACCACAGGGCCCCAAACCAAGGACAACAAAAAGGAGATGGACAGATGGGAAGAGAGTATGTGGTCAAAAGTGTGGTTTAGGGACAGGAGTGCTCGCTAGGGTGGAGGAGTGAGGGGGGTGCCTGGAAAGGGAGGCCAGAGAGATGGATCCTTCCGCTGAAGACCTGCAGGGAGAACAGGTCCAGGCACAGGCTGTGGCCACCATGGCAACGGGAGATCAAGGGCGCTGATGGCGAAGGCTGATGGACAGGTTATCAAGAACTGAGGCTGGGGTGACGAGGGTGGGGTGTCAGCACAGGGGCACAGTAATCCCGGGGACACAGCAGGACTGTGGATGGATGGGTGGGGAAGGCTGGGAAATCAGAGGTACCACGGCCTTGGTGCCCAGGCGGGAGGCCACGGTAGCTGGGTTGGCAGGGATGGTGGTAAGGTGGGCTGGGCTGGGGGGAGAGCAAACGGCATGAGCCTGTAGGGGTTTCCATGGGGAGGGTCTGGTCTGGAGGCAGCACTGAGGGCAAAGAATGCCCACCCCTCTCTGAACCTGCAGGGCATGAGGGCAGGTGTTCAGCTTCTACTGATGGGGAACTGCTCATCCAACAGGGGCAGGGGTGGGATGGAAAACATTTAAATGGAACCAAAGACAGCCTGGTCCTGCACCCACTCTCAGACATCAGGCACTCCACTGGGACTGCCCTCACTGCGGCTTCCTATGGCCGCGGCACAGCTGCCTCCTGGGCCCGGGCACCCCACGGCTCAGAGCAGGGACTAGGCCTGCCCTCATGCCGGGGGCTTCACCAGGCTCTGGGGGAGGTGATGGTACATGCTGCACCCCACTGTCACATCCTGCTTGTGGTTCCCCAGAGTCCATGCCCTGGCCCCAAGGAATGTACAGTGAAGGGTGGGAGGAGATAATGCCCCCACAAGGGATCCCATATGGGGGAGGCTCGCCACCAAGAGTTGTCCCGCAGAACAGAGAAATAGGTGAGAGCCCAGAGGAGGGGCAGGGAGGGGGTTTAACGCATGCGAATTGTCCCTCCCTTATGCCATGGGCTTGACCTACCCCCCCCCCCCCACACACACACACACAAAGGCTCCTTTAATCACCCCACAACCCTGAAGACTGGAAAGGTCAGGTTTTCACTGAGGCCAAGAGAAGGAATGCGACCTGCCCAAGGTCACATGACCAGCAAGGGACCCAGTCGGAATGAAACCCAGGCCTGGCTGGCTTCCAATCATTGTGCCTCAGGCTTCATCGAGAACTGAAGTAACAGACCAGCATCCTGGAGAAAGGGCATGTGCGTCGAGGGTGTGGCAAGCCCGCATCGGAGGCTCAGCGTCCCCAGAGTGAGGTGGGTGGGGCAAGCATGGGTGCAGGTCAGGCTGAGCGGCCGCCCCCCCCCCCGCCCCTCCGCCACCCATTCCGTAGAGAAAACAGGGTGGGGCAGGGGAGGCTCTGCAGGGCAACAGGCCCAGAGGTGAGGGGTGACAACAAACAGGGCCCTGTCAGCAGGGACAGGAGGGAGGGAAGGCACAGTAATGAGCTCCCCAGGGCCTCACCTCTCCTCCCCAGACCCAGGGCTGGCCCCACGGCACCAGGAGGCAGAGAGCAATTAGTCCCGAACACCCCACCAGCCACAGCCCTGGGACACGAGGTCCTGGACATCAGCCGCCCGGCCCTCGGAGCCTCCAGCCAGGCCAGGTGCCCCAACCTCTGCAGGAGGGACCTCTGGCCGGAGACAAACACAGGTCTGCACGGTCACACAACATCAAGGACAGGCCGCCCTGCAGGTTCTGGGCCCCTTCCCCACTCCTGAGATGAGCAGCTGCACCAGAGCCCGGGGCAGGAGCAAGCTGAGGCTCCTCCCTGCAGATGACCACAGCCCACTCCCCGGGGGGGACACAGCAGGTCGGGCTCCGTCCCCACGGAAGGCCCCAGGATGCCTACAGCAGCAGGTGACTGTGGGGCTGCAGGCCAGTGGCTGGGCCGAACACGACAGGGCAGGGTGGGAAGTGTGAGGCCAGCACTATCGGAATCCCTGGGCCACCTCCACCCCCAGACCAGTCCTGCCCGAGCGGAGGGTGGGGCTCAGAGGCAGGGGGGCCTTGTTCTGGGATCAGAAAAGGTGGTTGGAGCCCTGAGGACAGTGCCACCTCGAGAACAGTGCAGGGCCCACCCCTCTCTAGGCCTTGAGGCCCAGAAGTGCAACGATCCCACATGTGGCTCTCTGACACCCCAAGAGTACCCATGTCTGTGGGCTGAACCAGTGGCCTTGGCAAGGGCCCTACAGCCCGAAGCCACCCTATCCCCACAGGACCAGCAGGGGCCGGGCTCCGGGGATGCCCGCCTGGGGTGGCTGTGAGAAGTCACACTCCATTCAGAAATACGACAGCAGGGCCCCACCAGTCCCAGCCTCAGCCTCAGCCTCAGCCTCAGGCACAGCTCCCTCTGATGGCTGAGGGACATTGCAGGGGATGAGAACAAACTCTGCTCCTGATTGGATGGGTAACAATTCCCAGATCATCTACGGATAGTAATTGTCCTAACGCGGGTAAGGCAGCCACCGTTCACAGAGCACTGCACAAGGCCTCCAAGTACAGCGTCTCCTCTCACCCTCACGACTCCCCGACAGGGAGCTGCCTGGTAGCCTGACTTTCCGATGAGGGTATTTATAAAGCCAAATGGTGAGCCTGAGGCTCGCACCTGAGCTTGTAAGACTGAGATGCCCAGTGCTCTTTCTTATGCCCTGCCACTCGCCCCTACAGGAAGAGCGGAAAGGGCAGGGATGAGAGAGAGGCAGTGACTTGTATTTGCTGGCATGGGAACCCAGGATGCAATCCCTGTTGATCATTCTTTAGAGAGCACAAGCCCCGCCTCTCCTCCAGCTTCCAGGCCGCCCCTGGAGAGGAGGCGGACTGAAGGGCTGCACCGCCGACTGCTGCCACCAGAGGGCGAAGTGTAAGGACCAGCGCCCATGTTTTCCAACCTAAACCCTCTGACCCTGGTCCCGAACATCAGCATCTTGGAACCACGCTCATTTCTCAAGGACATGTTCTGCCAAATGGCCCAGGGACACTGCGGGCCCATAGTGGGGAGGAAACACACCAGAATCTCCGTGGGAGCAGATTCCCAGCAGCTGCCCAGGGACCTTAGGCTGGCAGGTGAGGGGAAGGCGGTCTAACACTCAGCCGACGCTGGAGAGCCCGGCGTCACCTCCCACCCCGCCCCAGGAACAAACCCCATGAAGTCTCACCTGCATGTTCCGGCTGCACCCCCGCCCCCACTGCAGGTCAGTGAGGACCCAGGCTGAGCTCCTTTCACCAGCCGCGCCCCAACTCCCCCACCCCCACCCCCACCCCAGGCTCACCTTCTGCCACAGCGACTCTCGGGAGGCGAGCGACGAGCAGGCTGCCACAAACCAGCAGTTGCCCACCTGGCCCTGGTGCAGGTCGTGGGAGCTGATGCCGTCCACAAAGAGGCGGGGGTCCTGGCAGATGTCCTGCGGGGAAGCCGAGAGGAGGCCTCAGTGTTGGTGTAAGATTCGCCCGTCTGTCTCCCCTGCAGGCAGGCCCCCCTGCATGGCCAGTGGGTTTCCCCGAACCAGCTCCCCCCAGTGCTCCCTGGAAGGCCCTCTCCCTTCCCCTGGTTGGAGAACTCTGTTCACTGCCAAAGGCTCCCCAGTGAATGGACACTGCGGAAGGACTTCGGGGGCTGGACCCGGGGCCACCACCTTCCTCTTGCCCTGGGTCTTCCCTGACCAGCACGCAGCCTTCACAGGCCCACAGTCACGAAGCCGGGTGAGGGCACAGGGGGGACACACCAGACGTACATGTGATGAGTGCAGAGGGCGGGAGAAGCAGGGGGCGATGTGACGCCCCGTGCCCCCTGTGGGCATACCCTCAGGCTGTTTTATCTGACCCTCACTCTGCCTCAGAAGTGTGACACTGTCATTCCATTTTATAGATGAGGAATGAAGGCTCAGAGAGGGGCAGTGACTTGTCAAGGGCACACAGCAAGCAAAGGCCAAACAGAGCTGAGCAGACACCCACAGAGCTCCCGGAGTGCCCACCTCAGGCCCACCCTCCTCACCCATCAGCATCCTCACCCCCACAGGGCTTAAAGGGAGTGCATGCTCCCCAAGGAGGGCTGGCAACAGTGGGGGGGGGGGGAGGTAAACACTAAGACATACCTTCCTGGCTCCAGGCATCCTGCTGGTACTAAAGTCAGTCCTCCCCTTGATCCTTAGAGGTGGGGATTGTGCTCATTTTACAGATGAGCAAACTGAGGCCCAGAGAAGTGGAACAATGCCCACCACCTGCCTCCACTTCAGCGGGTGAACGCTGGAGCTAGTTCAACCACAACAGAGCTCCTGAGGTCCTACCAAAAGCAGCCAGCAGAGGGTTCCAGAGTCAGGAAGTCAGAATTCAAGTTCTTGCTCCCCACTTATTTACCATTGGCTGTGCAACTCTGGACCAGTGGCTCAACCTCTCTGAGCCCCTGTTTCCTGCCCCGTGCAGAGGAGGTAGGGGAACATGGGGCAAAGGGCTATCCCTTCCCACTAAGGTGTCGGGGAGCCTGTAGCCACCTCTGCCTGGGAAGAGCGGTGCTTTGCGGGCCAGATCGAGGGCCATCACTCCTCTGAGGATATGAGCGGCTCCAGATAGGACCTCAGAGTGACCAGTTCAGGGACCAGCCACAAGGCGGCTTTCCCAGAGCACAGACTGCAGGACTGCTGCCCCAGGTCGTAGGAACCAGTGAGGCAGCCATCAGAAGTCTCACCTCCCTTCCCGCTGCCTCCTTATCTTATCTCCCAGGCTGCACTCTGAGCCCTGCTCCCTGGGGTCCAGAAGGACCAGCAGGACAGGGGTGGGGGGGCTTCCTATCTGGATGACCGCAGCCACAGCCCACCCGGGGAGAGACAACTGCAGCCTGGCGTCTCCAGGGCCTGCAGCAGAGGTGACTTCCCAGGCGCTCCTCCCCGTCAGATCCTCCCAGCCAGTGCCCTGGACAGAGACACGACTGCCCACTCCACAGAGGAGGACACTGAGGCCCAGGAGACGATGATGCTCAAGTCACGAGCCACGTAAGTGGACCAATGGGACAGAACCTCGGTCTGCTGGGCTCCCCACCAGCACTCTCCTCCCCACAGAGCAACAAAGCCTGGCCCTGCCACCCCAGAACAGGGCTCTGGCTCCAGACTTTTCTGGAAGGGGGCGGGGGGGGGGGGAGAGAGAGAGAGAGAGAGAGAGAGAGAACTGAGCTTAGGAGTCAGGAGGCCTGGGTTCCAGGCCCAGCATTGCCCTGACTCGCTGTAGCAGAAAATGGGTCTGGCACAAATCCACAAGCCTGGGAGGGCGCAGAGAGGAGGCGGAGGTCTGGGAGTGTTCCCACTGCTGGGAGAGTTGGGGTTCGCCAGCTCTAACCTAGAGAAACCACTTGAAGGTGGCAGCACCTGGGTCCCAGAGGCCATCTCGGGCACCCTGAATGGAACAATCCCAGGAAGTGCTCACAATGACTGGGAACCTGCTCAAAACAACCCAGCCAGAGGGTACTGTCAGCATCCCCACTTCACAGATGAGAAAACCAAGGCACAGAGAGGTTAAGTCACTTGCTCAGAGCCACACAGGAAGGGGTGAACTGAGATTCCAACTCAGGCAGTCAGCTCCAGAGCCTGCAGGCGGGCTAGGGTTTACGAGTGACAGCGCCATCCTTCCTTCACTGGTCCCCCTGCACACGTCCTGAGCCTAGCTTAGGGGGTCTCACTATGTAACAGTGAGACCAAGGGGTCAGGGCAGCCCAGACCCTCCCTCACCACCACAGGGCCGGGCTTCCCAAGGCCCGTGTTTGTCCTTCCACCTGTCCTGGGCCATCAGCTGGGCACAGGCAGAGCTGGACAGGGAGGCTCCCAGCCCACAGGCAGGGCCCTTGACGAGGAGAAATCCGACTATCAGCCTCCACGTGAGCACAGCTGTGACAGCCGAACACAGAGAGATCAGAGGAGGCTGCCTGGAGGTGGCAACCCCCGCAGAGCAGGCACAAAAAGCACTGGTGGGCAGGGAGGCTCCGGGGGAATGAGGATTCCAAATCCTCCCAAACACAATTGTGCCACAGCCTCCAGACAGCCCCCACCTTTGCCACCATCCTCCCCCAGGCTCCCGGCCACCTGTGTTCCCTTCCCTCGCTGGGGCTCAGCAGCAGCCCTGGAGGGAGGGCGCGCAGGACTGGACCGGACAGGCACCTGCTGCGAGCCCTGGGCTAGCCGGACTCTGTCTGGGGCACCGCCTTCTGCACCTGCGGTTCCCTCTCAGCCCCTCCCAGCACGTTAGACCAGTTCCACCAACACAGGTCACTGCCCATAACCACCTCCCTCAGCGGCGCAGCAAGAACTTCCGGTTTCCAGGCCCGGTGTGCACACAGGAATGCAGCAGGCAGCGGGCCCAGGGCACCTCCACCTCCCCTCCCTCCCCCTCCACATGCATTCACCTCCCCAGTCACCTCCCCTAAGAACACAGCAGGAATCAACCCGACAAGTGGGCAACCGGCTGAGGCTGAGGAAGGAAGCGGGACCTCTGCCTGGGGCAGGAAACCAGGGCAGTGTTCTCGGGGGTTATAGCTTGTCCCTCCCCGCCCCCCCATCCCTGCAACAGACTTGCCTCCCCACCCCACGCTCCCACAGCAATCCCATGCCCCTGTGCCATGAAGGGGATCGTTCCTGGGCAGGGCAGAGGCCCAGGTGGCTGGCCTTGGTGCAAACCGCCTACTTCGTGGCATAAAGGGACTACTGTTCAGCACGGCGAGGGAGTGGGGTTCTCCAGGTGCTGGTACGATGGGCAGGAGCCCGGGCAGGGGGCTGGGCCCCAGCAGGCCACCTTGGGAGAATTCCGGGAGGTTCCAAAACGAATAGCTGCTTGTAGAACAACTACCAGTGCCCTTCTTGGTCCCACCCAGGTGCCTGCAGGCTTCCCTGCAGAGATGGGGGGGCAGAGTGTTGGCTAGAGAGTGGGGGGCACTCTGCCTCCTCAGGGATGAGAAGGGGTCTCTACTACAGGCTCAGGGCCTGAGAGAAAGAAGCATACACCCCTTTACATGGGGATTCCCCCTGAGTCACAAGCTGACCTCCTCTTCTCCTCTCCCCAGCCCGTCCCCTGGGGGAGGCCAGCAGGTGTTCACTGAACTGGAAGGAACAAAGAAACAATGAAGCTGGGAAGAGGAGGAGGAGGAGGAGGAGGAGAAGGAGGAGGAGAAGGATGTGAGCCCAAGGCAGGTGCCCTGGGTGGGGACACCCTGGGTGGGGACTGAAAGGACCAGGCCCCACCTGTAGAGCCCATTAGAGATGGGCCTTTTCGGGCAGGGCCAGCCCTGGGTCCCCATCACAGGGCTGGCAGGTGGGGGAGAGGGGAGACAGTTTGTCATCTGCCCCCCCCGCCCCCGGTGTCAGACCCCACAGATGCTGCAAGTCATGTCAACCCCCAGAAATCACCATCAGTGAGAATTACTCTCCCCGTTTACAGATGAGGCAACTGAGGCCCAGGGAGGTCCCGTGCGGCCAAGTCCATCTGGCTGAAAACCAGCCTCTTCACTCCGTTCTTGGAGAAAGGTGGGGGGGCGGGGGGGGGGCAGGTGGGGGGCGGGGGGGGGGGGCAGGCAGGAGGCTGGCTGGGCAGCTCCTCCAAGAACACAGAGGCCGCGACGGCAGAGGGGGAGCGGGAGGTGCCTGAGAGTGAAGCAGGGCCTCCCGGGCTGCTGGGAAAGTTGGCGTCTGCTCTGTTTGTAAACAGTCAGGTCACAGGACCAGGAAGTGGGATTCCACAGAAATGCAGCAGCTGCAATGATCTCTCAGGCCAAGGGCCAAGCAGCAGGGAGCTAATGGTCACCCTGCTGGGCCCTCTCACCCCACCCGCCCGAGGCAAGCCTGGCCCAACTTCCTGCTCCACCAAACCCCATCCTGCCAGTGGGGTGAGCCTGCCCGGAACACAGGCCCTGCTGACACACGGAGGGACAGCCCATCACACCCTGGTCCCGTGGTCTCACCTCCTCCAACACCACTCAGCCAGGCCGGCCTGGCGCTGATCCCCCACCGAGGCCGGGCACGCTCAGGCACGTCCACACCGACCACCACGTGCCTGCACACCCAGGTGGTTCAGCTCCTTCTCTTCCAGTGTCTGGAAGGGACCAGGCACCAAGCCCAGTGAGGACGGTGGTGAAAGAGGAGGCGGTGTGGCAGGGACGGAAAGAGGCCCAGAGAGGGCAAGACACTCAGCTGGGGTCACACAGCAGGGGGTGCTGAGCCCGCCAGCCTGGCATCTCCTCCTCTCAGGGCACCGAGCCCCAACTTCCCCAGCCAGGCCTCACCAGCCTCCTTCACAGCCCTGGACCGAAAATGTCCGGGCGACGGCAGGAGGGCAGGAGAGGGTCAGGACGGGGCAGCAAAGGGAGTGAGAGGAGGGCAGAGAGCTCGGGTGTCTCCCCCTCCTCCTCTCACCCAAGGCCTCACAAAGGCCCTTTGAGGCCGGCCTCCTTCCCCAAAACCGGACAAAGGAGAGAGAAAGGCGTGGGAGCGGTGGCCCAAGAGGCAGGAATCTGTGGCCGCGCCAGGAGGCTGCTGGGAGTTCTGGAGATTCTAGTGTGGCTCCTGGGGCTGAGGTCAAAGGCAGCACGGACCCTTTCTCTGTTGTCGGGGGGAGGGGAGGGGGCCGGAAGACAGGACTCCTGGGTCCCTGCCCAGCTCTGCTGATGGCTCGTTGGACACTCCGGGCACCCACCTTCCCCTCTCAGCCTCAGTTTCCCTTCCTTACTCAGTCTAAGGAAATACACAGGGTTTTTTGGTGTGTTGTTTTTTTTTTTTTTTTTGAGTTAGCATGGACTGGAGATCACAGTCTAGGAGAGGAACATGAAAACTAAACTTCATTTCCCCCAACGAGCAGGTGCTCAGAGGAAACTTTCTAGTGCTAATCTGACCCGCACACCCTGCAGAGCACCTCACCTTCGATGGCCCCGCCGCCCCAGAGCACACCGCCCTGAGGACCAGGACCCCAGCCTCGCCTCCCCTCACCGCCCTCCACAAGCCGGCCCCGAGGCACCGCCGTGTCCCAGATGCCCCGGAGGGTCCCAAGCCGTGTCTTCACACTGTGCCTCCGGCCTGCGCAGCCCTTCCTGGCAAACGCCTTCTCTGATGATCGGGCAGCGGGAGTCTCCCGGCCCAAGCCCTCCGGCCCGGCTCAGGCTCCTGCACTGGTCCCTCCCGTGGGACCCACGCTCACAGGTGGCCTCCAGCAGCCGCCCCATCACCTAGGCCCCGAGGGCACCCACCCTCAGACTCAGGAATCGAGGTTAAAGAGGATGAAATCAAGCCAGGAGGGCAAGCACTTCCACGAACCACGTTCTAGCCTCAGCTAGAGGCCAGGACGGGAGCAGCCGGCCAGATGCCACATAACTCGCCATGCCCAAGAGTGAGGGTAAGAGCCGCCTGGACTGGGCGCCAGGCTCCGAGCCAGGCTCCCAGGCACCGTCTCTTTTACTGCTCACAACAACCCTATGAAGGGCTATTAGTTTTTACTACTGTTATTATTATTGATTAATCATCGTAATAAGTACTTGCCACTTACAGCAAATGACTATTTCAAAGTCATTATGAATATAATCAGCAAAGTTTATGCCTTGCTCTTGAACGTCACTAAATGGGACTTAAACGTCACTTACGCTTGAATTTCACTAAGAAAGGCCACATCACCTCATTTTTATCCCAACAGGGACCCTGGGAGGGTGACAGGACAGAGGAAGCCGAGGCCCAGAGAGGGGGTGAGTCCTGGCAGGGCAGTGGGGAGTAGGGCCCATTCTCCTGGCACCCCCTGCCCCCCATCCACATCACACCCCACAGCAGGAGGGCCCAGCATCAGCCCCTCCACTTTCTCGGCCACCTGGGGCCTCAGGATGACCCCCACCCCCACCCCCCTGTGCCCTGCACCCTGGGTGGGTCCTGGCCTGCTGGCCTCAGCTCCAATGCAGACCAGACACTGACCTTGGGCCGCTTCCACCTGACGCCAGGCCCCGGGGTGCCCTTGTAGTACAGCGAGTCGTCGGTGGCTGGGAAGTTGGGGTCTTCAAAGAGCACCTTCCTGCGCCGACAGGCCCGCTTCAGGGCTGAGTAGTTCTGTTCTTCGTAGGGCTTCACGCAGGAGAACATGGTGGCCGCTGCCCAGGGCGGGGAGGCCAAGACAAGCCAGCAGAGGGCTGCGTAGGTGGTGGGTGCGTGGGCAGCCCCTGGGGCACCTGGGAGGACAGAGGTGAGAAGATCATTAGTTTCTGAGGCCTGGAGGCCCTGAGTCAGGTGATCCCCACCTGCCCCTCCCTGCACCCTCACTCCCATTAGCCAGGAATGAAGGCTCAGAGAGGGAGAGAGACCTGCCCAGGGTCACACAGCAAGTACACACAGAGCAGGAAGAGGAGCCAACTGATTTCTGATGCTTAGAGGTGACACCAGACCAGCCGGCCAACAGGCCTAGGGCACAACCACGTGTGCTCTGGGCTGCCAGGCCTCACCCACCCCACTTCCTGTTTCACCAGCCTTCCCTAGACCTCCCTGGCCAGTGCACACCCGCAGAAAACAGCAGCACTGTCTCCAAGTCCCTCCTCCGGACCCTCGCCCTTAGTCTGGGGCGGCACAATTCTGCCCTGAGGGGGAAACCTCGACCCAGGCCCCATCCAGCCATCATTTACATTCATTCCCTCTTGCCCCTCCCGCCAGCACTTCTGGAATAAATGTCTTCAGTTATCATTGCTCCTTCATCCCAATGGCTAATTCCCCCTGGAGACCCCCCACCCCATCACATGATCTCCCAGTCCCCAAAGTCTGACCCTCCCAGGACAGCCTCTCCGACCTCAGTGTCTCACACTCCTCCGCAGCCCCTCCTCCTGGGCTTCGGGCCCCCCCCCCCATCTCTGACCTCTCCTCCCCCACTAGGGACCCCAGGGGTCTGCCTGCTCACTCCTGCCTCCCGAGCTAGTGACCCCTGTGTTCAGGCTGGACGCCTTTTCTGCGCCCCCGGCCGGCCCACTCCCTATGAGAGCCAAGGGCCCCTTCCCGGTACCAATCCCAAACCCAACTCCCCATCTCCCCGCACCTCGCCCGACTCCCCAGCCCAGGGAATAGGCCCACAAGCACCCACGAGACCGGACGCCCCGGAGGGCAGAGTGCACTTGGTCTGGTCCCCGTGCACGCACAGCGGCTGGCACAGAGCCTGGCACAGGAGGTGGCTGCACACGTCATCCTCCCTTCAGCCCCCAGAGTCCAGGTGGACCCAACCCAGCACCCTGAACCTCGTAGCCATGTCCCAACCAAACACGAGGGACACGGCCCGGACCGACATGGCAAGGCCTCCGGGCGGGGAGGGCAGGGTGAGGAGCAACAGCCAGCAGGTGGGCCAACACATCAGACACCCTGACAGATGCTCAGAGAGCCGGGCACAGAACGGACAGCCCAGGTATGTCCCGGAATCTCAGACTCCCTCTGGGCTGCTGGCAGAGCGCCATGCTCCCCTCGTCTACCCATCCTGGACCTGCCCAGGGCAACACTGCAGCCCCATGGAGGCACAGCTTCCAACGTCCAGTGCAGCTGAGGGAAACTGAGGCAAGGAAGGCTGGCTTCGGGGGCAACACAACTTTGAGAGCAAGACTGATGTGGGTGCCAGTCCCAATTGTACGACTCACATGCTACATGGCTTTAAACAAGTCCCTCAACCTCTGAGTCCCCATCTTACTATCTTCACAATGGGAACAATCATTGCTTCAATAATTGGAAGATATAATTAACCAAAGGCCAAGGAGACTGCTTCGTGGGCCGGGGGGGGGGGGGGGGGGGAGAGGAAGGAGAAGGGAAGTGGGCAGGCCACCTCTCATTTCCGAGAGAGAGCCCCATTCCTCTGGCACCTCCCATGTGCAAACTGCAGGGCCAGAGGTGTGTCTAGGGCAGTGGTCGGCAAACTCATTAGTCAACAGAGCCACATATCAACAGTACAACGATTGAAATTTCTTTTGAGAGCCAAATTTTTTAAACTTAAACTATAGAGGTAGGTACATTGTTATTAACTTAATGAGGGTACTCCTAAGGCTTAGGAAGAGCCACACTCAAGGGGCCAAAAAGCCAATTAGCCACAGTTTGCCGACCACGCATGGTCTATGGCATTTGCAAACAATGCTGGGCAGGCCTTTTCTGGTTTCCATTTTTCAGACAAGAGAACTGAGGCTCATGAGGGGAGGTGACTTGCCCACGTTCCATGGCGGAGTCTGACTCAAAGCCATATCCTCTGACTTGGTGCCTCCCCCTTGGCCTGGCGACCCCACAAGGCAGGAGGAAGGGCTGAGTTCCAGGCAGGGCAGGGCTCACCCCACACACACCCTGGCTGCGTCAGCCTCCCGGGAAGGAAAAAAGGGGATCCACGGGGAAGGGAGAAGCAGGAAGGAAAGGAGGTGAGAATGGGCAATGAGTGTGGAACATGAGGGACAACACGGAGAGCCGGAGGGCCTATGGTCCCTGCTTCGGGCTGAGAACTGGTTTGTCCTCGGCACTGGACCCACGGCCATTTCATCTTCTGCCCCCACATCCTACTGGGACGGCTTGCTCCACTGCTGTGACCCCAGGCTGGCCACTTCACCTCTCTGCCACTCCTCTGCCCAGGAAGGCCCATAACTCTGCCGGCTCCCACCCAGCCTCCCAGCCTCGGAGGCCTGAAGGAAAGAGAGGGGGGAGCCTGGGGCGCCAGTCCCTGGGCCTCTGGCACACAGCCACCCAGGAGAGTCATTAGCAACGCGGCTTCCAGTTTCTGCAGGGCCTCTCAGGAAGCAATTTAAGCTGCGAGAATTAGATCAAAGAAGCTGAAAGCAGGAGCCCAGATATCAGCCCTCGCAGTTCCAATGCTCAGAGCCCAAAGGGCCCAGGGAGCGGGCGCGAGCTGGCTGGGGTCACACAGCCCGGCTGCTGGAGGATGGGGTTTGGCAGCCCTCCAGGCTGCACAGCTAACACTGCTGGGAAGGCTTGCTCCTGGGGAGGACAGAAGGGAAGCAGGGAGGTGGGGGAGGGTAGGAAAGGGGAAAGCTCAGCTGGGCCGGGGCCTGGGAGAACCTGGGCCACCCCTGGCTGCTGAGAGTCTGACTGAGTCTGGCCACCTCTCCTGCCTCACCCCTGCCAGCCAGGCTGACCCTGGCCTACGTATGCAGGCTCTTCTGGCCCGGCCTCTGCACAGCCTGCACGGCGTGCTGACTACCCTCCCGCCCCTGCATTTGCCCCGGGGTCATTTCCCACTCCATCCACTGAGTCAATACCCCTGGGGTCACTGAGCCACCAGCCCCTGAACTCTGCCCTCTCCCTGCAGTTCCAGGCATAAGCACCGAAGGTCACGGATAACCCAGAGTCAGGAAAGCCAGGCCTCCCCTGCCGGACCTGCCGGACCTGCCGGGGCCATGGCACGGCCTGTCTTCTGTGTGAGCCAGGCACTAGCAGGACAGCCCCAGCTTCCCCGCGGCCCTTCCTCCTGCCCGCCCTCATCCCTCCGCCCTGCCACTCTCACCCACCCTCTGCCACCCCCCACCTACGTCCAGCGGTGCGAGCTCCTTCCAGCCCCCAGTGCTGTTCACTCCGGGCCTCTGCACACACCGCTCCTGCCACACGAGCATGCCTGGAGGACCCGCCACCTGAAAGACGCAGCCACGTACCTCCCACCTGCCTCCGACACTGCTCCCCCCTCCGCCGCCGCCATGCCGGAACCCCCGTGACAGGCTCCTTATGTGGGACCCCGTCTTCGTATGGCTTGTCCGTCTCTCCAGCCCAGCTTGCGCACCTGCAAGGCAGGGCCCATGCCCAGCTCCTGCCTGTGTCCCAGGGCCCAACATCATGGGGCATATTTAGTAACTTTGCACTGAATGAACCAGCACAGGTGCTACAGGAGGAATTCCTTCACTGACAGGGAAGCAGGCTCACAGGTGGAGGGACGCCGGGGGGATCAGCTTTCCATGTCCGAGCCGCACCAGCTCTCAGGCCTCCTGAAGACAGGGCCCGCCCTCTCGCCGGGCCAGGCCGCTCTCTCTCCTTCCCTCCCCTCCTGATGGCTGGGTGCTCTCAGCAGCGGCCCGGCCTCTCTCCAGCTCCTGATGGAGACGGGGCTTTCGTTCCCCCGTGTCCCCATAAGCTGTGGGATCCTGGACAGGCCACGTGGCCTCGCTAGCCTGCCCGGTCCTAGTCTGGAAGGAAGAGATAATGTGCCAGGGCCTCTGGGAGGATCAAATGAGACGCATAGCAGGGAAGAGCGCTTTGTACACTTTAAGGCACTGCGCCCCGGGGACGGCAGCATCAATGCCTGGGGACGTCTACAAAGTTCCCAGACTCCGGCAGGAGGGTTACAGCAATTCAGGGTTTCCGTCGCCGACGAACTTCATGAATACAAGCAAAATGAAAAAATGTGTCATTTCAGAGGTTCCAGCAAGAGGGACACAAAGGTCTGGCCCCAGGAGTCAGATGTCCTTTAGGAGAGAACAACTCAGGAGAAGGCTCACGGCGCGTGGCTCCGTGTTTGAACATCGACTTGTGAACCAGGAGATCACAGTTCAATTCCAGGTCGGGGCACATGACCAGGTTGCAGGCTCCATCCCCAGTGTGGGGTGTGCAGGAGGCAGCCAATCAATGATTCTCTCTCATCATTGATGTTTCCATTTCTTTCTCCCTCTCCCTCCTTCTCTGAAATCAATAAAAAATATATTTTAAAGAGAGAAGAGAGAGAAGGCTCACACAGGAAAGCACAAAGCCATTCAGACACAGCTAGCGCAGTGGGGCCCTGTGGACCGCGGGGGAACTGAGCTGGGTCAGAACGAGGGCTTGCCAGGCAGCTCAGAGAACCCCGTCCTCCAGCAGGTCAGTCAGACCTAAGTTCAAGTCCTGCCTACACCACTTAGAGCTGTGTCCTGGGGCAAGTCACTAAGCCCTCTGAGCTGCTATCAGCCCCGCCTGATTCCAGCTTCTCAAGTGGCAGGGTAAGAAGGCGGCATCAGCCACGGGCCTGCCCTACAGGAGTCTCTGTCCTCGCCGTGGAAACGTGGAGCACCCGCTCCCAGGAGGCTGCAGCCTGTCTGCTCTCCCCTGGATCTGTGGAAGTGTCCACACGGAGGACAGGGCAGAGAGAGGGCTCATCTTGCAGCAGGCCACGCTGAGCAGCTGACTCCCAGGAGCCTCCCCTGGACAGTGCAGCGCCAAAGCCAGGAAGAAACAGGACAGAGGGTTCTAG